GACACAATGTATCCAACTTACTATTTTTGGGGGGTGGTGATGGTTGAAACAGGGTTTCTCTGTGGCTTTGGAGCCTGTCCTGGAACTAGCTCTTGTAAACCAGGCTGGTCTCAAACTCACAGAGATCCGCCTGCCTCTGCCTCCTGAGTGCTGGGACTAAAGGTGTGTGCCACCACCGCCCAGCCCAACTTACCCTTTTTTTAACTTTTATTTATGTGTATGCGTGTTTGTGTGTGTCCGTGTGAGTGCATACCATGTGAATGCAGGTGTCTTCAGAGTTCAGAATCTGTTGTTGAATCCCTTGGAGCTTGAGTGACATGGATGTTATGAATTAAACTCCGGTCCTCTGTAAGAGCAGTAAGCAGTTCATTAATCTGGCTAAAAGATGTTCTTTGTACTATTTTAAGACACTGTTATAAATTGTTTTGATTTTCAGGGTTCTCTGTAGCCCTGGCTGTCCTGGAACTCATTCTGTAAAGCAGGTTGGCCTCAAACTCACAAAGATCCACCTGCCTCTGCCTCCCCAGTGCTTAAAGGCCTGTGCTACAACCACCTGACTTACTTATTTATTGAGACAGTGTTTCTTTGTGTAGCTGGCCTAGAATTCACTCTATTGATCAGGCTGGCCTCGTACTCAAGAGACATACCTGTTTCTGCCTCCCAAGGTCTGGGACTAAAAGCATTGTCACAACCTCCCAGCTCTTCTAATTGACATAATATAAAAATTGAGCCAAATGTGTTGTCATACACCTATAATCTCAGCTCTTGGAGGCTACAGTGAGAGGATCACCACCAGTTAAAGTTCAGGCAGATTTACCTAGTGAGTTCCAGGCTAGCAATGGCTACAATGAGGATGGTGGCACATGCCTATGGTCCTAGCAGTCAGTCAGGGTGTGGAGGTTGGATGTTCAAGGCCAGCCTAGGCTACATGAGCCACTATCTCAAAACAAAACATCAAATAACAAACACAATGTTTCTCTGTGTAGCCTTTGCTGTTCTGGAATTTGCTCTGTAGACCAGGCTGGTGTTGAACTCAAGGAGATCTGCCTGCTTCTGCTGGTATTAAAGGCACACAACTACCACTGCTGGATGGTACAGTGTTTCTTTTTTTAATATATTAATTTTTATTTTATATGCATTGGTGCTTTGCCATAGGTCTCAGGTCCTCTGGAACTGGAATTACAGACAGTAGTGAGCTGCCATATGGGTGCTGGGAATTGAACCCAGGTCCTCTGAAAAAGCAGTCAGTGCTCTTCTTAACCACTGAGCCATCTCTCTAGCCCCCAAGGTACAGCATTTGTTTGTTTGTTTGTTTTGTTTTGTGAGACAGGGTTTCTCTGTGGCTTTGGAGCCTATTCTGGCACTTGCTCTGGAGATCAGGCTGGTCTCGAACTCACAGAGATCCACCTGCCTCTGCCTCCCGAGTGCTGGGATTAAAGGTGTGCACCACCAACGCCCGGCCCTGGTACACTGTTTCTTAATAGAAAGGTGTTTAATGAAGATAGAATGATATTTAGAAAAGTCATGATTTTGAAGCCATGTTAAAATGAGCCTGTAATCCCAGTTACTTGGGAGGCTGAGGCAGGAGGATCAAAGTTTGAGGCCAGATTGGGCAACTTGGCAAGACTCTATCATAAAACAAAATAAATGGATTGAGTTGTTGATGAGTGGCAGGGCATTTGTGTAGTATGTGTGAAATTCTTCATGAAGCTCCAATACTGTTGTCTTTGTTAGGGTTTCTCTTGCTGTGATGAAATACCATGACCAAAAAGCAAGCTGGGGAGGAAAGAGTTTACTTGGCTTATACTTCTACAACATAGTCCATCACTGAAGGAAGTCAGGACAGTAACTCAAACAAAGCAGGAACCTGGAGGCAGGAGCTGATGCAGAGGCCATGGAGGGGTGCTGCTTACTGGCTTGTCCCTCACGGCTTGCTCAACTTTGTACATTAAGAGTTAGATCTTGGACCCACTGCTTTCTTATAGAACTCAGGACCACAAGCCTAGGAATAGCACTACCCAAAATGGGCTGGCCTCCCAGATCAATCACTAATTAAGAAAATGCCCTACAGCTGGATCTTGTGGAGGCGGTTTTTTCTCAGTTTTTTCTCCTTTCAGATGACTCTAGCTTGTGTCAAGCTGACATAAAACTAGCCAGGACAACTGTCAAGGAAATAATAAAAAGAAACCATTCATCAATTAATGCTAAAACTGTTTCATAAATAAATGAGGGGGAAAGCATGACATTTGTAGTCTTAAAGAATTAGCCCATAACTGACATATTTACTCCACCAGGAACAAGGGACCTTGACCATGGAGGACTCTGACCTTAACTTGAGTAGGTTAGTGATCAAATTTCACATATTCATTTTCAGGACAAGCTGATGCCCTGTATCTCCTGATGGCCTGCCATCCTTGTTACCTCACCTCTTTAAATATGCTGTCAGAGGAATCTAACTGTGGAACAGTTGAAAGCAAACAGGTTTGAGTTCCTTAAAAAAAAAGTGGGGACAATATATGAGGCTACTGACAGTGGGTCCAAGATCTAACTCTTAATGTACAAAGTGGAGAGATACCTTGCTCAGCCTAGACACAGAGGTGTAGGGGGTGGAGAGGAGCCTTGCTTCTGCCTCAATGAGATGATGGGACAGACTTAGTGACTTCCTAGGGGTGGCCTTACCCTGTCTGAGGAGCAGATGGGAGGTGAGGGGGGTGGAGGTAGTGGGAGGAGAGGAGGGAGGGGGAACTGGGATTGGAATGGAAAAAATAAATCAATAAAACAAAAGCAAAAAAAAAAAAATGCTAGTTTCAAGGGGAAGCAGTGGCGTGCGCCTTTAATCCCAGCACTTGGGAGACAGAGGCAGGCAGCTCTCAGGCCAGCCTGGTCTACAGAGCTAGTTCCAGGACAGCCAGGGCTACACAAAGAAACCCTGTTTTGAAACACACACATACACACACACACACAAAAATGCTAGTTTGTCAAAAAATCAAAAGAAACTTACCAAACAAACCAGGCAAAGTCTGAAGCTCAGTGAAGGTCTGAGGTTGCACAGAACATACAGACCTTCACATTCTTTTCCTTGTGCAAAGGAGGTGTCCATGTTTGTTAATATACAGCTGTGACACAGATGAGCCACTTATATGACGACAACACAGCACTGACACAGAGGTGTCACAAGCTTAAGCAAGGACGAATGTTTGCGCATGGCCCTCCAGACTTTGCACCTGGACACTGTGGAGCAGGTGGAGATAATCAAGCCCATGACCGTGTGGCATGACCAAAGCCAGGCAGCTGAGCTGTGGTTCAGAATGGTATTTAAGATTTAGCTACAGCTAGGGTATGGGGGCCGGGGGAGACACGAGCAAACGATGTCCATGTGTTGGGGGCTGAGGCTGGTCCATGGCTGGAGAATTATGGAGACCTTTGTTTTCCAGACCTGGTGTTTGCAGCCTGAAGCATAAGAGGCCAGCTGATCGGACACATCCTGATCTGGCACCCCAGGGCTCCGGCTTCCCCTGGCCAAGTCTCATGCTGTGCAAGGGCTACCAAGGAAGCCGGTCCACCAGGCACCTGAGTCCGTGTAAAAAATGTGACCCACTCAGTGTTTATGGGGTGTTCTCAGACTTGGAGATCTTTACAACAGTTCCAAGGACCACAAGCATTTCACGCCTCTTCCAATCATGGTAGCAAGTCAAGAGAGGGCCTGAGATCAGGCAGATGGCTCTGCAGCAGGTAAGGGTGCCTGCCTCCAAGCCTGATGACAACCTCAATTCTATCCCTTAGTTCCACAAGGTGGAAGGAGAGAACAGACTCTGGCAAGTTCTCTGAGACCCACATAGGCACCATGGCATGCCTGTACCCCTTCTTTCACATACAATAATAATAATAAAAAAAACAAATACATAACTGTAAACAATCATTATTATTATTTCTAGTGTGTTTCAAGACAGGGTTTCTCTGTGTACCCGTGACTGTCCTGGAACTGACTCTGTAAACCAAGCTGACCTCGAACTCGGGGATCAGCCAGTCTCTGCCTCCCAAGGGCTGGCCCAACAAAATAACTTTTAAGAAGGTCTAGAGCCTAAGCAGTTGGGGAAGACCAGCAGAGGGAGGGGTGCTTTGTCTCTGTGTGAAGATGATGGTGACGGGGACATTTGAGAATGTGGGGGAGGCAGGATCGGTGCTCGTTGGGCGGGAGCGGGGCAGGGCAGGTGCAAAGTCGACCAACTTTGGTGTGGGCCGACCTAGTACTTGTGGTAGACCGGTGGCTGCAGACCCCCAGCTGGCCCCGGGCAGCATGGGCAAGCACAGCTGGCCAGGCAGTCGCCAGAGCGTGAAGGATGCTGGGACCACGTGGCGCGGGCTGAAGAGACGGTGCCCCTGACCGAAGTGCGTTGCTTCCACGGGCGAGCCCTTGAGGCCTCTCCACAGGAGCGCGCGGCTCGCCA